AAAAAATAAAAAAACACACATCATTGTAAAATCAAAACATTCATCGTTCCACTAGAATCTAATATACGTGAAGCCGGTTGCCGTGTAGTAAATTATTACATTGACAATATTTTTGTCCTACTGATAAGATTATTGTAGAATTATTTCATTATTGCACCTCCCTCGACCCGCTCATGACTCGCGTCTCTAATCCTGTTCCTCCAACGCCATGGTACTCATGTTTATACTTATAAAGTTATAAATAATTTTATCACATTGGTAATATATTTGTAGAATCAAAGGTACTAAATTATCAAGTTTACAAATTGTATTGTCAATAAAATAACAGTTTATTTTTCGAAATATTATAATTAACAATACACCATGTTCATATCAATAAAACAATATTATTATCCCCAACATTTACCTTGTTGAATAAACAAAACATTTGCATAGTGTAAAACTTTATATTGTTAAATGTTAAGCATCGACAATTGTGTATTGTCAAAATTATCAATCGTATTTCTTTGAGTGCGTCACAGCTTCGCCCGTACAGATTGGTTGTTTATTTTGGCTTCGGACGATGATAATATGTATAATATTTTATTCAAATTATATTGTTTAATGTGATCGGAAAGTAAATATAAAAAAACTGTTAAAAATGCTTCAATTAAATATAGCTGATCCCGTGAATTTTGTTTCCCGTTCAATGTACCAACTCTATAAGAGTATAAGACTCAAACTATGTTCAATTCGTTATTTAATATTCGGTGTATGGTGTTCAAAACTTATCTTAACTTTTCCGTTGCCCAGAATATAAATTATGATTTGCAGCAGTATATTATCAGGTAGGCAATCTACCTGCGGTATAGATCCCTTGCTGTTTGTACGTAAGTGTATGAATTAGCTCTAGAGTATCGAAGTAATACCAAGTTTTTCGTTTTTACTTAATTCCACCTACGATGGATTAATATAATCAATTAATACAAAATCCTAATCTAACCTAAATGTACTAAAATCCGAAGAGTAAAAAAAACCAAATTTAACCTTTTTTAAATTAACCTACCTATGACCTTTCATTTTCCCAGAGGTCATCTACATACAAACATTAATTTATATGTATATATATTTATTGAGGAAAAATAATAATACAAATTAACAAACATGCCCATTAACCAATAGTAACCAATATATAATACACCAGCAATTCTTAAACTGTGGTCCGCGACACTCTTGCCAGGGGTCCGCGACACTATAAATGATTTCAGCTGTGGACAGCATGTGTGTATAATAAGTTTTAATTCCGTTCCCCACAACTTATTTATGTGAAAAGCCCTTTTCCGCTCTTGTATATGTCAAAAACAAGTTTCACAACCGTTTGGAAAACGTAGAGTCCGAACTTCGATTTAAACTTTCAAATATTGAGCCTAATATAGAAAAATTAATGTCAGAAATGCAATATCATCCTTCACATTAAGTATACCTATAAGAATTTAAATTATAAGATTAATTTCAAATATCTTAAAAGTAAAACAATAATTAATTTTCTATGTAAGACAAAATATTATGTAATAATATTAAATATAACAAAAATAATTAACAAAATATTTTTTATACTTATTATATTTTTATTGACCTTTCTTTTAAATATATTGGTAATATTGTAACATGAAATATTTTTTAATAAAAAATGGTAATTCCTAACAAAATTAATAAGGTGGTCCGCGATTTAAAAATGTCCTTCATCAGGAGTCCGCGTAATAAAAAGTTTAAGAACCGCTGTAATACACTATTATTATTTTAATCAGAAACAATTAATTTTAGATTCTGAGTGAAACGATGAATGTATTTTATTATTTGGTTTATTTTTTTCTGGACAGATGGCACCACTGTTGTATTTTTGACATCCATATTTCCTACTTTTCTACTGGGTTTTTCTAAAATGTTCTTTCATAAGAACCTTGTCCTGACAATATTACGAACACAACAAAAAAAGAATTAGCGAAATCGGTCCATCCGTTCAAGCGTGAATCGATGACCAAAATAGGGATCCATTTTTACAAATAGAGATAAATAAATAAATATTACACATCACACAACAAATAATTATTAACAAAAATTTACAGAAAATTATTGTTAAAAACCTGGTCAAGGTTAATTATTTTGCTTGTACTCGTCATGGGTATCTAATGGTTAAAATCAAATTATAAACGGTAGTGTAAATATTAAATACAGTTGCAGTAAAACGCGCGGTGGCTATATTCAGTACATTTATTTTATTCACCGTTTAAAATTATTACTATTTACTTAATCCTGTAACAACTTGACAAGTTAAGTACTTAACAAAAATGCTGGGATTGCCATTGTACTATTATAATATTATCGTCGGCTAATGAAATTTTTTTCACCACTTTTTAGGAGTAGGGGGGGTCGATACAGTGTATCATATCGTAAAAGGGTGTAAAGTTTATATTAATAATACATAGGTATCTATAATCAGAAAACAAACTATAACTACAATATTCAGACAGCGATGATAACACGGAAAGGAGTTGATAAGACCCTACCATCGAATTTAGTACATTGCACATCCATAATATTGCGATTAACAACCATTTAACACGACTTTCCAGTTTTGCCATAAAATATGAAAAACCTAATTTCTTAAATTTGAAACTCATTTTATTTTTATACTTATTTAGTATATTACTATATTGAATACTGCTTTGATTTAATTTTGATATTATTTTCATGTAACTGTATAATATAATATTATATAGTATGTACAGATAAAATAATATAATCCTCTATAACTATGTTAAAACTTAAACTCTACAGACTTTAAAACAGATTTCATGTGTACTTATTTTAAGTGGTTATACGCCTACTTAATGTCAACTCGTAATATTTGGGGACCTTAACCTGGCATACACACCAAAATAAAGATAAATTATAATTATAAGTGTTACAACAATTTATTTACTAAAGTACTGAATATAAAAATGGAACTTCGTGTATGAATGGTTAAATCTTAAATAGTTTATTTATTATAAAAATTATACTCTCAATTCGAAGGTAATATTCGACAAAATGTTTAAAAATGCCAACAATAATATGTATTTGACATGATATTAAATTATTATGTGATTCATGTGTATTAACTCAAACAATTTTCTACGTCTGTTTACTGATATTTTTATTATTTACATTTGAGAGTAAATATAGAAACAGTAAATAAGAAAACGATATAACACATATTACTATCATGTAATACGCAACTTTATTTCACTGAATGGTTGACGTATATTTTTATTGTACCTACCTATGTAACGTGAAATTGAATTAAACTTAAACAGAGCGTCTAAAAATAAAAGCATTGTATGTTTCAATACCTAATGTAAATGTATACAATATTATTTATTTTTCGTCCTCGTTACAATTTAATAGTATTGTAAGAAGTTTAAAGACTTTGGAAATATGACGTAATGTTCGGTTTAATAGGTTATACTGCTGCAGTGCCGGATACGGGGAGGTGGTCGATAGGGCGATTAGACGTGTTTTTTCTATGTTATTATAATATTCTTTAGTTGTTTATATGGTTGCAATGTTATTTATAAGCTGGATAAGTTTTCCGGAATTACAATTTCACATATTACAAATATAACATAATATATATCAATAAAATATTATCATACAAATATTTTTAAAAATTATCTCCACCCCCCGCTTTAAACAACTGCTGGATCCGCTACTGCAGGTATGTTATAAGTGAAATCAAGCCACGTAAATAAAATCTAGTGATTTTTTTTATAAAATGTTCGTGTTACTTTTATCTACAAACATATTGACTCACAAGAGAAGTTCAGCTAGTTAGGTGAAACATTTTGAACATCTACCATCTAGTTAGAAACTATTGACCATTGCGTCCGTTTATAAGTTACCTAATTTAAAGTTCAGTAATACATTTTTAATAATAAGTAATACATGAGCCAATGTGATCTTGGTTTTTTTAAACTCAGAAGTAAAATTATCGATACCCATACGAAATATTTTTCTAACTGTTCACTACTGTGCATTTATTTATGTGTGTGTAACAACTAAGACTAACAAATACAAAAACGTACTTATTGATACCATCTATTTTTATGGGAGTATATAATGTATATGTCGTTTTATTAACAACCACTGGCGATTGGACGTAAAATTATAAATAAATTACACGTTATTCGAAATGGGTGCTATATAATAATGCAATTTTTCTTCACATTCGACTGATCAACGAAATTGACTAATAACAGTCACGCGAACTTGTTTACAATATTTAAAACATAAATACTGTAGAACAGTTTATCAATTTGTTGGTTATTATAACCCCATTATTATATATTATATAGGTACTATAGGTAAACATATACATTGTTTAATATATTATTAACAGTATGATATTAATTGTTCTACATTCACATGAAATGAACATATTTGTTCGTATTAATGTCAAATAATTTAATAAATTAGGTATAAGAGTAAAAATACCTTAGAAAAAATATTAATTGTTAAAGAGTGTTTGAAAAAAAGAAGTAATCATTTTAATTAAGATGGTACAAAAACAAATGTAATTAATTATATATTACCTCATCAGTAATCTAAATTTCATATATATTTTTATATTTAACCCTGACATTTTTTATTAAAAACTATGGATTGACTTCAATACTTAACTTAGTTATAATTACCATTTACCTAGTAATTTTATAATACGTATTCATTAAATTAATTATTTTAAGGCAACATAATTATAGTTATTTACCAATTTTTCACATGTGATCTACAACACGCTACCTATACTATATTTTTTTATTGTTCGTGATTTGAAAAACTCAACCAAAAATGACATTGAATTATGTAATTATTCAAGGATAAGTAATGATAAATTTACTTTATATTTAATGAAAATAGCTTAAGTCAATACAGTTTTAATTCTCATGTGTATTGAGTTAGTCGTATTTTGTGTTTTTCTTATAATGTTTCCATTCATCTCCATTTGGTGGATAAATATAATAACTCCGTGTCTATTCATTTGTACGATTACTTATTATTTTTGTACTTTAACTTTTAGCAAATGGGAAAAAATCAACGTGCCTTATATTCAGCCAATTCCATTGTTCGGTAATTTCCTTTATGTAGCTTTCGGAATGCAACATCCCATAGATTTTTACAGGAAAATTTACTATGAGCTGGCTGGTCACAAATACGGCGGTTTATTTCAGATGAGAACTCCGTATTTGATGATTCGTGATCCGGAAATAATAAACAATGTGCTTATCAAAGACTTCTCAAATTTCCCCAATCGTGGTATTTACTCAGATTTCTCAGCAAATCCCTTGTCAAACCAATTATTTTTCATGGAAAATCCCCAATGGAAAATAATCAGGAAAATATTGAGCCCAGCATTTACTTCAGGCAAACTTAAGCTAATGTACGATCAAATCAAAGAATGTGGCGATGAGCTAATGAAAAATATTCATAAGAACTTAACGAAAACCGACAATATAATGGAAGTGAGGGACATTTTGGGAAAATATTCAACCGACGTCATCGGCACTTGCATTTTTGGTCTCAAATTAAATGCCGTAAGTGACGATAATTCTACATTTCGGAAGTATGGGAAGTCTTTGTTCTTGCCGTCACTAAGAACACATTTAAGGGAATTGAGTTTGATGATCACTCCCGCTCTTTTGAATATCCTAAGGTTTAAGGATTTCCCAGCGGACGCAACTGAGTTTTTCCATTCAGCATTTCACGAGACGATAACATATAGGGAAAAAAACAACATAGTCAGAAATGATTTTGTTCAAACCTTGATACAAGCAAGAAATGATTTGGTTTTGAACAAAAACATTCCCCAAAGAGGTAAAAGTTTATTTTCTCAAAAACTTAAAAATAATTGGACCAAATTATGTGGATTTTATTTTATTTGTTATTAGAAAGGTTTTTAGAATCACAAATTGTCGCCAATGCATTTGTTATGTTTGCTGCTGGATTTGAAACCGTATCCACTGCTATTAGTTTTTGTTTATACGAGTTATCGTTAAAGAAGCATATCCAAGATAAAGTACGAGAAGAAATTAATTGGAAATTATCGAAAAACAACGGACTGATTAATAACGATTTGTTGATAGACCTAAACTACTTAGACATGGTTTTAGCAGGTAACTATGCAACTAATAATCCATTATTTTTTATTATTTTCTTGAGTGAATTGAGAAATATTTTATTGGTATTACAATAATGTACTTCTTGTACTACCATTTTGTGGTAGACTGGTAAAGGAGAGTTAAGGAAGTTTTTTATGGTCCCTATCAACTTATAGGAAAATAGGAAACGACACAATATTTACTTAAGAGAGGATGAGAGATAATTATGTTGTGTTATTAAAATTGTAATTATGATTAAAATGTTTTATTTTAAATGTGTAACATGAATTTAACGAAGTCCACAATTTCAAAGAGATACTCAAATAGTGTTACTGTATCATCTTCGTAATTTTTAATTGCATATTATAGTCGTTATTAAAACTATTTTGATCATTTTTACCTAATTATTATTATTTTTATTATTACAAAAATGTTCATGAAAATGTAAGTATAAAAATATTATATCTTTTAGAAACACTCCGTAAGTATCCGCCGACCTTTGCTTTATTCAGAAAAGCATCACAAACATATCACGTACCAAACGATTCATTAACTATTGAAAAAGACCAAAAAGTAATAATTCCTATTTATTCACTGCATTACGATCCAAAGTATTTTACGGATCCTGAAGTATTTGATCCAGAAAGATTTTCACCCGAAGAAAAAAGTAAACGTATAAGTGGTACTTATCTTCCATTTGGCGATGGACCTCGAATTTGTATAGGTATATTATTAAAATAACCATGTAGAATACCTATATTATTTTGGATATAAAAAATGTATATTTATTTCAATAGGAAAACGTTTTGCTGAGCTCGAAATGAAATTGGCTTTGGTTGAGATTTTAACTAAATTTGAAACAGAACCATGTGAAAGGACTGAAGTTCCTATACGATTTAGCAAAAAGGCTATAATTACAATGCCAGAAAACGGTATATGGTTAACATTTAAAAAAATCACTAACCAATGATAGTCGATAAGTGAGTGATTTTGTCAAAAGCATTTGTTATTCAATTTGTTAATTTTACGTATTAATAATATTTAAGAATATTCATCATAATATTGTTTTATATTCGTAGTCTTAACTTCACTTTATGCTATATTTAATAATTTTAAAATAAGTTATAAATTTGTTTCCTTGATAATTCAATTTTCTGGTGATATATGGATTCAATATTTTTTTGTATGTTTGAAATCATAAGAACAATCGAATCTTTTGAAGCACTCCTATTTTTTCTATCTTAAAATAGTAAATTGTGATTATGTGTATAAAAACTGATTAAACTGTTAAACAACTGAAAGTTAAGTATTTTTATTAATGTTTACTATGGACTATAGTCATTACTCATTATTACGAAACTCTGCAAAAATCCTGAATATAGGCATTACCTAACGTAATTTGTAAGACATTTATATAACTTATAAATAAATAAGAGCAATTATATTGGATTTAATTAATTCTCTTTGGACAACAATACATCAAACTAACCAATTTTGTTTTGATAGTTATAACTATAAGGCAATATTATATTCTATAAAGATTAAGAATTTAATTTTTTTTTAAATTTTAAGACCAAACACAGTGAACCTTAAAAGAAATAACTTTAAAATTTCATATACTTACTAAGATATTGACCGGTCCAGGATTATAGAATCACGTTGTATATAACAATATTATACATTTCGTTTACATATGTGCGTTTTAATATTGTCCCTGTTTATCTGAAGTATGAACATTTCGCGCGTGCAAGGCGGTTGGGATTAAAAACGAGGATTAAAAATAAGACTAAATAGAAAAAAGGTGGGCAAGTGGGTGTCGCTCTGCTGTACAGTAGGTTACAAGTGGGTCACTGTATAATGGATGGTATTAAATTTGAATTCAATGATATAATATCATTGTATAAGAAAAACGATTCTGAGCGGTGATGGTATGTCAGTCTATGTATAAGGCATATTATATACATATCTATGGTATTAAACAAAAAATTGACCTATAATAGGTACCTATAATAAATTCCAAATTAATCATATCACAATATCCATTAGATACTTATAACGCGTTATACATCAACAAAAACCGTGATACTATCATAGATATATAATAGTACACTTTAGAAGTTTCAAGTACCCACGAATAGTATTATTCAATCACAACAAAATAACTAAAATCGTAATTCTTGGTTTAAATATGAAATTTTGTCTAAATTTGAAATTAAAATGTCTGTAAAAAATAAGTGTGTTTATATATTTTTTAGATTTTTTGGTTACAGTATGAATTATTTAAGAGAATCTTTGTTTTAAATTTTCAACTCTTAGTTATAAAAACTGAACATTTTATAATTTTTTAATTCCAACGATTGATAATTTTCGAGATTTTGATAAATTTTGTCAAAATTCCAACTTTAAATGCTTATAAAAAAAAATCGTGCCTATGTATTTTTAATATTTTTCAACTGATATTGTAACAATATATCAGGAGCCTTGTATTAAATTTTTACACTTTTTGGCCCAACAGATAAAACTTTATTGATATTTATAGAAAAAAAAACTAAAAAAATTGAAAGCTGTAAATGTCCATAAACAGCTCAAAAAGAGTCAAAATATTTTCAAAATTGTATGGTGTATAGAAAATGCTAATCTAAACATTCAGTGAAATTTTCATGTATCTACAGTTGTTCGTTTTTGAATTGCAACAAAATAAAGAAATCGCTACATGAGTAATCGAGTGAATATCCAATGTTGTAAAAATTTGAATTTCAAACGCTCATAAAAATTTAACTTGACTGTCCGGTAGAGATTTTTTTATTGATAAAGGTAGATAATCTTATAAGGAATCTTGTGTTTCATTTTCAAATCTTAGATTTAAAAAGAAAAATTTTTACGAATTCTTAACTCAAAATAATTTGCTAATTTTCGTGATTTTTCCATATTTTGTCAATTTTTGAACTTTAAATGCTTATAAAAAAAAATTGTGACTAAGGATTTTTAATATTTTTCATCTGCCTTTGAAACAACATATTAGGAGCCTTCTATTAAATTTTCAAGCTTTCGCAACCAACAAATAAAATTTTATTGATATTTCTAGAAAAAAAACTAAAAAAAATGAAAAATGAAAATGTCCCTAAACAGTTCAAAATAAATCAAAATATTTTGAAAATGTTATCGTGTTTAGAAAATGCAAATATAAACAACCAGTGAAAATTTCATGTATATACGTTCATTTGTTTTAGAGTTACACCAATAACCAAAATCGATTTTTTGGAAAACCAATTTTGCGTAAAAATTCCCGTTTTTCCTTAATTTTTATGTTGTTTTTTCCCGGCGCTTGTGAAAACTACTGGGAAATTTATACTTTTGACCCCCCAAAGTACCAACTAGATTCACTTTCCTATCAGAAAAGCTACTGATGAAGAAAATCCAAGCACTTTTACTGTCCTAAAACGTGATGACAGACACAAAAATAAAAAAAAAAATAAAAAAAAAAATAAAAAAAAAAATAAAAAAAAAAATAAAAAAACACACATCATTGTAAAATCAATACATTCATCGTTTCACTCAGAATCTAAAACTACATATTCATTAAAGATAACGCAATCCTACCGACCACTGATGCAACCATTATTAACGCTCCGCGCATTGACGTTGTTTACTTAAGCTATACTCTACTCAACCGCTCGCTGTTGTAGGTGTATGGGGCTACACGAGACTTAAAAATAAATCTAGCACTGTTATATACTTATAAATATATATATATATACTGCACATGTGTAGATGTACGTATACATGAGTGTTTTCTCTGAAAAACGAAAAACATTAATCCTCAGTAGGTTTTCCATTTAAGAGCATTGGAAAGTCATTAATTTTTTATAGAAAACCCATCGGTCGAAAATAAATCGAGATATATGTACGCCGTTTTCGATGTACAATCGACGAGAGAAAACTAAGAACTGTACACTTGATTATATTTTAAACTCTCGAACGTCCTCGGTCGTCTTAAGGTTGTTTTGTTCGTTTAAATGCAAAATTATACTTATACGCATTCTGAATTCGTAAAAAAAAAAATTAAATTGCTTACTGCAATAATATATTATTGTTGTGTGCTATTATAGAAAAAGCATCGATGCCCGAGTCACAGTCTATAATAAGAATACAAATTATTATTCTCAATATGTTATTATATTTAATAATTTATATAATATTTTAATAAGCAACGTGATACTACTCTTGGTAATTGATAGCCGATAGGTATTGCAATGACATTTGCGATGTTATGTAAAGCGAACCATATTATATTATATAGGTACTAGTGAATTCATATTAAATAACATTTTATTTATGCATTCGTTTTTTTCATGAGTGATATAGAGTGTTGTAGTGGTACATTGTTTATGTAAGTCGTACTCGATGTGTCTAATATTCTAAAATACCTATAGTCGGAGCACAAACCGTATCACAACACGATATCTTATGAATATTGAATCTGAGGACTTTACCAAGAGGTCTGTTTTTTACATTCGTTTAAAAGAAAATACAGAATGGAATAATATTTCTTGGAATGCATTTTGGTTAAAAAGTTATGTATAATAAATAAACCTAGCGTGAGTAGATCTTTTTTTTATAATGGATGTTTATAAAAATATTTCTAGATATAATATCATGAATATTATATAGAAATTATGTTACTATAGTGAATTGGCTGTAAATCGTCTATGATAGCCGTCACGATTAGTTTATTGTATATCATAAATAATTATATAATGAGTACATTACATAATATGTTATATAGCTTTACTGGGATACTCCACCTAAGGGGATAAGATAAGAAAGATAAAAACTTATGTATATGATATAATATAAGGTCCATCAGTAAAATACAAAATTTAGAAATCTATCAAATCATATTGAAGAAAATGTATTGAGCAAATAGTGATGAAAAATGAATTTTTAATAATGTTTTGGTGCATTTGTTTATAATATATTATTATATCTAATCCCTCTATTATAAACAAGTTTTGTTTATTTTAAATTCCACATCCACAAGTATAATTTTTAAATATTTTAAATTACAGATATTCCATTTCAAAATTCAAAGGTACACTACCCTTGGGCCTCAAGGTTAACATAAAGGGATGGTAAGCATGGTTCGACGGGGGAGGAGGGTGTCTTGACCCTTCGGGTGGTCGGTGAGCAGAGAAACTAGAGGCAAAGTCTTCTAGTATTTAATAAAAATCTGCTATTTTTAATAACTTATACCTAAACCTAGTTATTTTAATTTTAAACGACTTTTATAACTATTTGAGACAACAATATGAAATTACTATATGATGGGTAGTGGGGATTTTTGAGTGGAGGAAAATACCCTGTAGATTTCGCTAGGACCCCTGTGTAACTTCTCAGTCCTGGTCACGCTAGAAGTCCTTTCGGAAATACGTCAAATTCACAAGATCTCTTGTTTTCGATTGGGCGCGTTTCGAACCACAGAACTATTATTTCGGTCCGAGCGGATTACCATGGCTTAGCGATGTGGCGCAGATGAGCATTCGGCCTTAGACGCACATAAAATACATAGATATGAACACAAATGTCTTGGCAGCAATAGCGCTTTTTGTTTGAATACATAGGCTATAGGGCGCGTCGGTCACGCCTCGAGATAAAACTAATCTCTCACCCGGCCCGCCCCATCCATCGCGACCCGCATAAAACAAACAAGCGTGAGATTCAGATAAACAATAAGAGCACATCAAAACGGTATTATATTCATCATATTATCATTATTGCAGTGAGAGTTACGCGTTTCATGGACCACGGTCGACTTGTTCGATAATCACGAGGTATAGCCCTCTCTCTGTAGTTTGTTAAAGGGCAGGATAACCTTTTTCGAATACCAAGTCACATATTTGTGTGTCCGATATTTGTATACATATTATACTGAGAGTCTATAATACATAGGATCCGTGGCGTCGAATAGAATACTATTAATATGGCATCAATACGTAAATGACCATACCACGCGATGGCATGCCTTACCGGAATATCATCGATCGTAATACAAAATATTATAAAATTAAAATTTTTTAAATTTTGAAATCGTTCAATTGAAAGTCGTCAACACATCATCGAGTTAGACGAAAATTTACAAAATTCGTATACTAGTGTAAGCTCGACGACGATTGCAGGGCGAGATGCACCGAGGCCTGTTGCTGCTGCACTTCCGCGTCCGGCGAGTTCCGGACCCTGCAGGTTCTGGCGCCGAAGGTCCGTCGACGCCCAAGCCAGAAGCATTATTCGTCCATAGGAAATCGGCTGTAGACTTTTCGATCCAGCCAGCGGTTCTCGCACACCTGAAACTTCAGAGGATACCCGTGGTGGTATCACCTTGGCCGTAAACGTAACGTCACGCCATCACAATAATAATATTTTAGTGCAAACGATCGGAAAAGCTGTATACAGAATGGGGAAAAACTGGCGACGACGACAACATCGATGTCCTGCAACGGAACGACGTGGACCAGCCAATTATCGTAAATGTATATCACGTGATTTGGGATGATAATAATAATTATAGACAAGATGTGCACCGAATACATAATATTGTGTACCTACCTATTACAACTATTTGGGTATCAATTTCGTCTCATTTCAATCGATCAAACCGAGTGACAGAAAGTAACTATACAAAACCAATTTACATGAATATTTTATTTGTAAGAGGTAAATAATTATTGAACAATATTATAAGAGCTTCGATTTGGTTTTTTTATATTGCTAAAATGTAGGATAAACCATATTATTATCATATTGATTTCATCAAATAACTTTTACTGAATTATCTATAAAAATATGTAATATCAAGATTCACTTATATGCTCATTTAATAAACTCCCGGCACAAATCACAATCAAACACATACTTATCTTCTCAATTTATGACAATTTACCGAATTATTACACAAACGCCAACTACTAGAAACTCAACAAGAAATCCTCGCACAGATACAAACAGGCAATATACGCTAAACGTAATATGTATAAATTAAATTAAACTCCATAAGCAAATTATATTTATTCAAAAATAAATGTAAATATATTATAATCGTATTGGCTAATAATGTCGTAGTTGATGCCAAAAATATGTATCAAATAATATTATTTTAAAATATTAAAAAAAAAAATCATATGAAATCGCATTTTTATTTTTGAAAAAAAGTCTAATCTAACTTTAAAATGTATTTTTTTTTATTTAAAAAGTACAATGTACTATTATTGACTAAACATATTTTAAATTTATTTTTAAAGTTGTTAAATTATTATATTTGAATAATCTTTAATTATTAAAATTATAAACCATATTATTAAGCTTATCCGAATATTGTTTTCTATAATGTGCATTGAACGGCGTAGCGTATAGGCAATATAGCTATATAGGCACATTAAAGTGAACAATATTTTTAAATTCTTCTTAAATTATAATATTGTTGGTTTTGAGTATAACAATTAATAAGCTACTGAGTTTAAATTACCATACCATAATCGACAAACATGGCATTCAATGGGCATGTTGTTTTTAAGTCAGTTTGCTTGCTTATGAATATTGTAACTCAAGATGGAAAATATTTAACTCGTATCATACATTTTAATGAATCTGGGCATAATAATAAATATTATTCGAGTTCGGGATTTAAGTATATATTTGTTTGGTAAACTTTATACAATATTATAAGTCTTTTAAATTCTGAGTGAAACGATATTAGCTTAATAATGGTGTATATTTGTTCGTCTGTTATCATGTTTTAGAGAAGAAAAAATGCTTAAAATTTAAACTTTAAGGGTGGTAGTTTAGGGTAGAAAATAGTTAACATCATCTAACCATAATATATTATACGATTTTTACAAATGTATTCATATATTAACGAACACAAGCTCGAGGTAATAATGAAAATAAAATATAAAATGTTTTTCTCATCGTGTGACTATGTGAGGATTATTTTCATGCTTATAAATTATAATATTCATTATTCTAATATTATTATTATCTTTATAACTATGACAATAGTCCTATAGTCCCATTTATCCTATAGGAATCCAGCTAATTTTAGATTGTCAAATATTTTCTGATTTCCTAATACAAGTTACGATCGGTGAGACGGTGAATAACGATATGAACACTGTTTCCGTCCTCGTTCCCTTTGGTCTGTATTCAGAATTTTCTTGTTATTCACAAAAATAAATGATTTTGTTTAGGTATAACGATTTTACTAGTCATTAATAATCGATCACTTACCCACTGTGGAATATTTTAAACTATTTGGACTTTTTAATGAATCGGTAATCGGTTTCGAACCCTAGAGTTCAACCTACCTTGTTACTTTAAAATATAGTAAAATTACTTAAAGAAAAATAAAGTACCTATTTAATAAAATTGCAGATATTTGCTAAATTTCCAGTTTTTAAAAAAAATATCTTATCTGGAAAAATAGTCTCACTTACCCTTCTATTCTTGATTAGTTTTAAAGACCCTCGACGATCCGTCTGACATTCGGTTCCCTTTCCCATTACACTATTTTCCACAAACTATATGTATGGTAAATGAACCTATTTTGCGTATAATGTCCTTTGCCAATATGGACCTCTCCTTCATTTTTTAAATTATTAAATAATTGTTAAATAGGTATCATTATAATATAAATCTTAGTATATTGTAAAACAAGTATTTGTTCTAGTTATTGTATATTTTAATTGTTTATGTATTATTGTCTATAGAGCTCAGCCTGTCAAATCTTAGTAAATAAACAACTAAATAATTAAGATATAGGCGGACAGACCGCCCCGCTCAGAATCACTTTTCATCAGTTTTCAGCGTATATTATTTTTATCACTGAATTCAAATTTAACACATCCGTTATAGAGACCTACCTATTCAATGACGAGGTACTCTCGATGCATATTAATATAGCAGAGTGGCTTCCCCAGTTTTTACAATTTTAATTTATATGGTTCAAACTAAAATATATAGAATTATATTTAGCGCTATAACACAAAAAAATATAAATTTATGATTAAAAATATCATCATCATCATCATCATTGTTTTAAACTAAAATTACACTTGAAACTTCATATTTTTATTCATATTACTTAAGTACTTATACAAAATTTAGTTATGAACACGATGTTCATTGGCCATTGCTAATACCTTTGTATTAGTTATATTGTAAAGTTTTAACTATTTAATAAAACTGAAATATTTAGGTAGGAAAATTAATTGTCATACAATAAACTATAAATATATAATATTCAATATTATTATTTTAAATAAAGAGTCCATAATATTTTTTGTATGTAATTTATTGTGATGTATATAATATGATAATATTTTTACCAAGGTAATGTAAATTGTTAAAAATTAATTGGTAATAACAATTATCCCTACAAATATTGCCTGATTAGGAACTAGTTATTTATATTCTTAAGATTTCTATTTTTTAAATCTATTTATCAATTCTGCTATACTAAAATAACTATAAATCATGGAGAATACATTCACAATATTTTATTTTTCGTTGAAAGCAACACAAATGTTATGGGTTTGAAAATTATGAGAGTGATAAAAACAATTGTTATATTATGTACAAATTTGAAATTAATTTCATTACTTATTCACTTATTTATCAAAAATGCATTCGAAACCAATAATATTCAATTCTTATGAATTTATTGAATCAATACAATAATGCTAATATTGTACAATTTAGTAATATAGCTAGAGATTACCGAAGGTATAAATAATATTATTTTTATTATTAACTTATATAAATATTAAACCAAGTGCCTAAGATGTTATGATTTTAACAATAAATAAATAATACACTTTTTTTGTTGTGATTACATTTATTTTTTCACGTCTATGCATCATCTTAAATTCGTGCGGTTTGATTAATCGTACAAATATCTCTTATATATAATTGTGATGAAAGCAAAACACTTCACGTTGTAGTACAACATTCTATGTCATAACAAATTCTAGGTAATTTTGTTGTTCAAAAAGATAAATGTAAAGTGTACTCTCCAATGACATTTGATTTCACCGATTTATGTTTATTCTATATATTTATCGTAAATAACAAAAACAAATCGTTATAGTATCAATTATACTTTCCTTTCAATGTAAATAGATTATTAGTTTTAACTTTTTTGATTCAGATACTCATCGTGTGGCAGGTTTTATGTGGTATTTTTTTACTTTGTTGGATATACTCGATTTATAATCATTATTTAAAGTCATACAAAGTGCTCGCTTGTCTAATTTAATTGTTTATTGATTTTATCGTTTTCCCCTTAAATGGGTCGTATGAACCAAAAATGTAACCACGTTAAATGCAATTAACTGTGATTTATGAGGCTCAAGAACTTTTACATGAAACTTTTTGTTGTATCATTTTAAAATTTCACTCCGTTTGTCGATCTGAAGTGGTTATATCTGCTTGGCTGCACATAATCTTAACTATAAAAATATTTTGAACACTTATTTATAAATATCCTTAAAATACAATGATCAAATAAAGTTGATTTATTTAAGCCCTTAAATGTTATAACTTATAAGTAAATATCGAATGTTGAAAGATATATTGTGTATGTTATAATTACTATACGCTTCAGAATTTAAACAAAGCAAACATGAAATGTATCAATTTTGTAACTAAGATTTTACTTTTAGGTTATTTCGAGTGAAAGTATGCATTGTATAAGTACTTTCAAACTTTGCTCTGACTTTTTTGGATACTTGTAATTAAACCAATACATACCTGAGGTCTCATGTTGGTTATTTATATCACTTAAATCACAGTAGTCGTCAGAGGTGATGTGATGTGTCACAATCCATAATGAAATATTTGAAAAATTATAATATGATAATGTAATAATACTTGAATGGTGTATCATCAAATTAAAATTTGATTAGAACTTGCAGGTCAAATATGAACTTGCTGACACTTTCTAAAGATTTTCGATCGTTTTAGGTAATTTTCCTAACGTTTAGAAATATTATTAAAAAATTAAAACTTGTAATTTTAGGAACACTTTTACTGCTTTCAAAAGTCTTCTCTCTAAATAAAAATTATCATTGTAAACCTTATTTTACTTGGAATATATTCTAAAATCTATAGATATTATTGTTACTTCACCCAGAACGTCGACAATGGTAGTATACACTATACATACATTTATTTGAGTATATAGTTTAGGCGTGTAATATTATAGTAGTTGTCTGATTAAAATATTATTAAATTGAAAAATCAAAAGATTCACGTATGAATGATAAAAAACTGTGAAATTACGATTATTAATACTAGGCATGTGCTTTTATTATGTATGATTTTTTAATATTACATGGTTATTAGAACTTATTAATAGAAATGATACTCACAGAAGAGAAAAAAGTGCATGTGAATTATAGATATATATTTATACATTAATTGCACTGCAGTGGAACGCGTCCTTGAAGTCATGTGAAGACATTTGGTGTGTTTATATAATAATCATAATGTGATATTTATTGCACAAAAATAATTATATTATGTTAGTACTTGAAGGACATTTAATAATAAAATAGGTAACTGAAAAAAAATGCACAGGCATAGATACTGTTTTAAATACACATTTGTATAAATACGACGAGTACCTATAAAAATGTAATTAGAGATTAGTGGCGCTACCTTCAACGCGTTACTAATCGTCGGCGTACGATTACACTTGTACCCAATTTAATAGAAATCAACAGAACGGTCGACAGTCGTCCGGCAGACGTTCCTTCGAATAGAAAATTAATTTCGAATGTCCGTCTTCTACCCAAAGCGATAATGTTTGAATTCGTCTATGAACTGTTCGATCTGAAAATGCTTTTGGTCACCGCTTTTCTGGGTGCCATATACGCGTACTCCACATGGACCCACAGCCATTGGTCCAAGCTGGGCATATCCAGTCCGTCGCCGCCGGTGCCGTTGTTCGGGCACGCGATGCCCTCCATGTTGGGACAGATGCACTTCATGGATGTGTTGCACAACCTTTACAAGGATCTGGGTGACCAGAGGTTTGGTGGAATTTACACAATGCGAACACCACAGCTCCTCGTCAAAGACCCAGAACTAATAGGTACGTAACACGACGTGTTTTTGAAACAACTCAATAATATTATATTATAATCAATCGATGTTTACAATATAGTTTAAATTTGATACGTCATTTCAATATAAATTTATCGGATTTATCAATAAGTACTCAATATTATTAATATATAATATTCTATTGTTGGTATTGAAATAATTACAATGTTGTTACTTGTTGAGTAGGTAGAATAAAAGTTAGTGAGGTTATTATTACTCCGCGATTAAAAATCAACGAGTGTCTATTAAAACTTTTGTTTAGCATTACTTTTTATTAATTATAAAATATTACTAAAATAAACAACCTTTAATCTTTGTGTTTTGTTTGCTGAACATTGTATCGATTTGTATGTAATGCGTTTTGTGTTGATCGAGATAAATTATAATTTCAATGTATCTGGTTTTCAATATTATAATAAACTATCTTTTGTTGAGACGAAACAAAATTATAATGTCGTCATTAAATCGTAGATGTGATAATTTACTTAAATATGCGTCATAATTTCCATATCAGATAAAAAACTGTAATCAATATAAAAGTTTGTTTCTAAATATTTTTATTCACACTCGTGCTCACACACACATACACACATACACACGCTCGCGCTTTTTCAGATGGTGTATGGATTTTTTGATTTGTTAATGCATATTAATGAAATCCCTATCCTTTAGATATTGTCACAGTTTCATGAACAACTAATTCTTTACTTTTAATCATATTAAAAAAAATCCTTTAAACATTATATGTAGGTAATACAGTTGAGGTGAATTAGGCGAGGTGGATGCACAAAGCCTGGACTTTGTATCCTATCCAAATTTCATCCTTTTATTTTTACGCACGGTTTTGAATTTTAATGGACCTTAAGTATAATGACGTTGGAACGTAATGTAAGAACTTTTTTTTGGAGATTATCACTGTTGGTAAGACTATTAATTATGTAATATTTTAATAATCTCATTAGTGTATACATTAAATTATCATTTAAAATGGAAGTTGTAGGAAGTTAACATATTATAATTATGATTAACTGCAAGCATATCAGAATAATCAATTTTAACTTAAATGTAATCTCATTAATGAATGTGATTCATATGTTTTAGATTTCTAGTAGATGTATATTTTGAATAACAATAAATAATTATGATAAGGTATATTGTTTTTTTTGTACTGTGTTATCAGTAATTATTAGATTCATATGCATTCACTAAATACTTATCAATACTTATAGCGTAATGGTCAGTCACAACGACTACTTGTAGAACCATTTCTATTCTGTAAACATAATTAAATATAGTCATATTTTTTGTGATCGATATTCTAAGTAGTAAGTCGTTATTCTGCTTCTGTTATAAAAAACGGTTGGATATGGAGAGACTGGAAGTACTTTAGAGAAATGTCAAAATAATCTCTATTTTTTTAAAAATGCACAAAAATAGTAAAAATATAGCGGTGATGAAATGTATTTAAATAAAATCTTCACTACCTACAAGCTTAGGTATTCATCATAAAGTCTAACACTTTTTTTATTCTAATGAAATTAATTTAAATTTCTGTTTTGTTTTATTGTTTAAACCATTAGGACACATACTGATCAAAGACTTCAACAATTTCACGGACCGCGGATTATACGCTGGCACACACACAAACCCGCTCAACAATAATATATTCTTCACACGAGGTGAAAGGTGGAAAACGATGCGGCAAAAGCTCAGTCCCACGTTCACTGCCAACAAACTGAAGTACATGAACGAACAGGTGAAGGAGTGCAGTGACGGTCTGCTGTCGACCATTGGAAAGAACCTGGACGACGACGCCGGTCGAATCGAAATCCGCGAGATGATGGCCAAATACTCGACCGACGTGATCGGCAGCTGCGCGTTTGGCCTGAAGCTGGACGCCATCAACGATCCGGACTCGGAGTTCCGGAAGCACGGGAAAACCGTTTTTCAACCGTCGCTGAGGTCCAAGATCCGAGTGGCGATCATATTCATGCAGCCGTCACTGCTGAGCATTTTCCGCGTGCATCACTACTCGCACCGCACCATCCGATTCTTCCACGACGCTTTCCAGCAGACAATCGAATACCGAGAGAAGCACAACGAAGACCGCAAAGACTTTGTGCAGCATCTGATGAAGGCCAGAGAAGATCTGGTGTTGAACCCGAATCTAAAACCCGAAGGTAATCGATGAGAAAATAGCACACGGTTTTTTTAACTTCTATAATATTATACCCATCGGTCATGTCTAACCGATCTGCTATAGTGCTATGGGTCGCCTTGATGACAAATAATAAGAAAGTTATCAGACAAAATATACCCACGTCGTAAAGGTATTATATGCCTTGAGGTCGGCAGATGAACAAAAGTATATCGGAAAAATCAAAAACCTTAACTTCCTTTACTCGTTCGATGTAAGATAAGTGAAAATGATAATTTTGCATGAGAATTATTACATAGAGTTCTTAAAAAAAGTAACAATATTGCACTCCTAATTGGCATATTTTTTACACTCTTATTTTAAATACTTAGAATAATTTCATTAGGTCCCTACTTATTAATGGATTATAAAATAGGATATTTTATTAAAAACTTTCAATTAAATGTACAGTATTACAGTGTATAAAAGTATATAAAGTATATAATATATATATATATATATAATAATAATATATAAAGTATATAATTACAGTATATAAAACACCATATTATTTTAAAATACAATAGCTCTGATACTGTAGATATGAATAGCATAATAACATAATGAATTGGTATTTTACTTAAAAATCTAAAATTTTGATTAGGCCTTTAAAATTTTAAATAGTAAGGTAATTTTACCAACATAAACAGTTGGCACAATAATTGAGCTATTTGACATGGATAATTATTTCGTGGTTTTTGGAAGGTTAGTGTATTTGTACAGTTTTCGACAAAATCCTATTTTTTCATTATTATTATACCCTAATTATATTATTATAATGCTCTAATATACGATGAAGTAAATCTAAAAACCGATTCTTAACATAAAAAAAAATAAATATATTTATTAAAGCAGCCATTGGTTTGTACTTTGTATACTGGTTTTTTCTATAGTTAACGAAACTTGTTTTAAACATTTTAATATTCTTCAATAAATTCTTCTGCAAAATTTTTATTTAAGTTTTTAATATTTTTTTTAGAGTTTTGGCTACTTGTTGTACTGTTGGGATGAAGAGGGCATTATGGAGTGTATTGTTTGAGACATAGAAGGGAGCTTTGGTTTTTGGTTATTTGTCGAAGGCATTTATTTTGGAATTTTTGGATTTTCTTTATATTCGATGGTTTGGCCGCACTCCAAAGTTGTATATCATCATATGACCATATTGGTTTTAATAAGAACTCAATAGGAGAATTTCGTTGTTTAGATTGATGTGTTTAGAGGTTAGGAGTGGTCGTAGCTGACGAGATCGGTTGTTCAGAGAAATTCACTTGGTATGGATGTGGGCAGCCCAGATCAGTCGATGGGCCTATGGAGACCTAGGTAGTGAATATTTTGTGTGACCGGGATGAGTAGGCTATTGAGGGTTATGGTAGGGCAGTTCTTCGGTCTAAGTGTGAAAGTGCAATGAGCGGATTTCGACTCATATTTTTAAAATTAAATTGTAAAACAGATTTAACAATGCTACTCAGCAAATATTGTAATATATTATTGATATTTTTTTTTTTTATAGAAAAATTCACTGAAATGGATATTGTAGCAAACGCATATATTCTTTTCATCGCCGGTTTTGAAACAGTATCTACATCAATGAGCTTTTGTATGTATGAATTAGCATTAAGAAAAGATGTCCAAGATAAAGTTCGAAAAGAAATATTGGAAGTTAAAGCTAAGTACAATGGACAAATGAATAGTGAATGCCTTAACGAACTTCATTATATGGGCATGGTTATTAAAGGTAAGATAAATCAGTGATTTTGAAATTTAATTTTTGAATCGAAAAGATTATTCATACAAGAATAATATTGAATTTAAATTTTATATTAATGTAGGAAGGTGTAATTGGTTATAAATATTTTTACATTTATTGTCTTTTTAAGTATTTTCTTTTATTGATTTATATGGTCATGGGATAATGCAATTAACACGTAAGTAAAAATTATTTTTATAATTTTTATAATTTATGAAAATGTAATGATCTAATGCGTTAAATATCTATAGTCAAAAACAATTGTACAAACTATTTTATAATAGGTGTAGGTATTATACATCTTACTGCATTACCAATGTGCATACACGGTAATTAATTAGATCTATAAATAAGGCAGCAAAACTAATTTCATGAATTGCGCAATAAATTTAGAATTAAAAGAAATAGAGTGTCATGTCAAATAAAATATTTATTTTTATTTGTCCATAAAAAATTTAATTTTTTTAAATATAATTTTTCACACAAGTAATATACAATTTAAAAATATTGAGAAGATTTTTATGATTATGATTACCTGTCAACATTTTAGACAAAGGCTTAGGTTCATATTTTATAGCTTGGCAATTTCAACCTTCATGGTATAATATGAATTGGTAATATAGTTATAATTATTTTGTATTACTATTTGACACGTAATAAATTTGATCAGAATGAAATTAATTATTAATGAAGTATCGATGAGGTTTTGAGAAAATAAATTGTTTATTTTAATTTGTATTTTATAAGTACATTAAAAGATTAATATTAGGTACTTAATATGTAAAATGAATATGTAATATAGTATAATTATGCATTTTAGATGAACTCGAGTAGGTATATACGTATTATAATAAATTGCAAATCAATGACTTGTTTAAATCAAAATTGTTGTTGACATTTAAAAATACTGAATGTATACGGCAGATGGTAACTAAAGTCTATTACAAGACTTAGGTAGTTTATTACACAAGGTGACTCACTAAGGATGCTCATTCCCTTTTTCGGAATTTTCAAATATACTTCAAGGGGCGCATGTAAACTCCACCGATTGCGACCTTTTTAGACCTTTTTTCATGTAAACTCCACCGGTACGTTTTTTTTACCTGAAAAAAAAATGTAAACTCCACCGGTACATTATTTTTACCTGAAAAAAAAATGTAAACTCCACTGGTACGTTTTTTTTTTAAAATTGTAATCCAAATCCAATTTGATTAACTAAGATTACATAATTTATGTGGGTGCAGTTTTATTATAATATATTTATGTATTTAAATACAATGATTTCAAAAAAAAAATCATATAAAAATCAATTAGAAAAAAATAGAAAAGTCTATAATTATAAATAATAATTAACAATAATTTAAAAAAAAAATTATATAAAAATCAATTAGAAAAAAATAGAAAAGTCTATAATTATTAATAATAATTAACAATAATTTTAAAAAAAATTCATATAAAAATCAAATAGAAAAAAATAGAAAAATTACAATTATAAATAATAATTATTATTGTTATTGTTTGTAATATTTAAAATTATTCAAACAAAGCAACATATTTCCACGTTCACTGGTTAATTCACTTAATGTGTTCATTTTGAAATCGACGGACGCACTAAAATGTGTCTTCGAAAATATTTTATCGAATGCATTCGTTTCGCGATATCGCGATATGATTTTATCTGCGGTCGTTAAGATGAAGTTTAAGATAAGTCAGTCGAAAGTTGATGTGTATACACTATACATATAGTTTTAATTAGTGGATTTTACCATAGGTGGAGTTTACGTGTTTTCAGGTCAAAAATACGTATCGGTGGAGTTTACATTTTTTTTTCAGGTAAAAAAAATGTATCGGTGGAATTTACATGTTACAAATCCAACCCTAAAATCGACTACCTGTAAATCGGTGGAGTTTACAATCGCCCACTTCAAGACCTCAAAAGGACATATTTTCAAATTATTGAGATTCTTATAATATATTATGAAGTGCCATATGGATATAAAAATTTGGAATTTTCCAATCACAACCCCCACCTCTCCCCTTTGTTACTGTAAATAATTTAGAAGATCATTTTTCTGAAAATATTGTCGTATTAAAATAAGTATTTGAACGAATAGTTGTTGAGTTATTTAACCTGTGTACTAATTTAAGTATATTTAAAAACTCTAAAAATAATAATTTGAATAAATTCATTATTAAATGCGAAATATAGGGGTGAGCATGCGTGGTGTATTACACTGTATATGTAAAATTTCACCAGATTTGTTTAGTTTGAAATTGTATTAAACTGCCATTATAGAAATATAAAAAAATGTTTTAAATTTTCAATTCTTAGATATAAAAGTTGAACATTTTATAAATTTTTAACTATACAAAATAATTATTCACTTTTAAATTTGATAAATTTTGTCAAAATTTGAACTTTGAATGCTTATAAAAAAAAAATTGTGAATTTCTATTTTAAATATTTTTCAACTGATATTGCAACAATACATCAGGAGCCTTGTATTCAATTTTCACACTTTTTGGGCCAACAGATAACTTTATTGATATTAATAGAAAAAAACGAAAAAAATTGAAAATTGTAAATGTCTTTTTACAGCTCGAAAAGAGTCAAATTATTTTCAAAATTGTATGGAAATGATAATATAAACGTTCAGTGAAATTTTCATGTATCTACAGTTATTCGTTTTTGAATTACAACAAAATAAGGAAATCGCTACATGAGAAATCGAGTGAATATCCAATGTTGTAAAAATTTGAATTTCAAATTCTCATAAAAATTTAATTTGAGTTTCTTATCGACATTTTTTTTTTTGATAAAGGTAGATAATCTTATAAGGAATCTTGTATTATATTTTAAAATCTTAGATTTAAAAAGAACAATTTTTACGAATTCTTAACTCAAATTAATTTGCTAATTTTCGTGATTTTTCCATATTTTGTCAATTTTTGAACTTTAAATGCTTTTAAAAAAAAACTGTGATTAAGGATTTTTAATATTTTTCATCTGCCTTTATACAATATACTTAGAGCCTTCTCTTAAATTTTCAAGCTTTTTTAACCAACAAATAAAATGTTATTGATATTTTTAGAAAAAAAACTAAAAAAAAATTGGAAAATGAAAATGTTCCTAAACAGTTCAAAACAAATCATAATATTTTGAAAATTTTATCGTGTATAAAAAATGCAAATATAAATAACCAGTGAAAATTTCAAAAATACTAGTGAAGAAATTCTACAGCCGTGACTCATGAGTTTAGAAAAATTAGAGAAAATATACGAAAACTCTAGGTGACAACGTTATAATCTCACAGTAAATCACATACCTAATATATAAAGTGCAGTTAGTGCTGGTAAAATTTCATATTGCCCGATGATTAAAACTGATAATTTCAGTGAAAATATTTAAGATTACGAATTAATCTATTATCATTTATTGATGTTAAAATATAATAAAATAAACTAGTTTGTGAAATGTGAAAAGGAAATTGAATTTTGAGAAATTCCATGGAATATTCCCAAGACCAGGAATTTATCCATATTATTCATATAAAAAATATTTTTACATATTGTTTATATATTTTTCAATATTGGATCTCACTTATTAGCTATTACTTATTCGAGTATTATAATATGTGAAAAAATAATTATATAAGAATGGGAAGAGTTTTTTGTGATTCAAAAAATATATTATGAAAGTTTAATTTAAGTTATACACTTAATTAATGTCAGTCGTCAGTGTAAGAATTAGATTTTAATTTATGTGAAACAAAAAGGTTAGGCCATACTTGTAAAAATTAACTTTTTATATTATGAAATAATTCCAAGTGGTATGTTAATATTTCCGAAATATTCTTTTCATGGGATATAAAGCAATGTTTGAGCAATATTTCCAGTGACATATTACTAACCATTAATGATGATTAAAAATATAATTATTGTCTTAGTTAATTTTGTTTGGATTAAATTTTATAAATAAAAAATTATATTTTAAATTATCATAATATTTATTGGAATGTGTGAATTTTGAATTATAAATAGTTGTTTATAAATAATGTTTATAAACTTAAATAATATTTAATTTTCATTTACAATAAATATTATTGATTTGTTTTGCCCAACACTGACTACAGGCGTCTCAAGAACAATTGATACCGAGAATACCTGAAATATACCTGAATATAGGGCGCTCACGAATTTCCTCCCATCTGACACTCGAATTGCCTGCCATGAATTTTATTTTTTTTTAAAGGTTACCCGAATTGCCACCAGATTTCACAAATATTATTCACTCGAATTGCTTCCTAATTTAGGTAGTGACCCTCTTGTACTGGAATCGCCTGCGATAGCTATAATTAATCGATTAATAAAAAAATATATCAAATATAATTTAGATGAAATATCATTCTGTTATACAGTCAAAAACTTAAGTTTGTATAAAATAAATGTTTTAGCAAATAGACTGACACATCAGTAATAGTTAATAACATTAAAAAAAACATCAAATTTAAACTGACTGTGTTGAACTGGTGATGATAGACTAATCCCGGGGCCAAACAGTTTTAGCAACTGAGAATCACTAATCGGGGATAAGATTATTGCATTCGAAAAATTAATCGGTCTGGGAAATACTGTATGTCTTAAACATTTTATTTTTGAACATTCTTGAACGGAATAATATAATAATCGATAGTGGGTACACGTACAACTATCGATATATTAATTATATATTAATTCAGGTAAGTTATGGGAGGCAATTCGAGTAAAAAAAGGTCATCTACCTATATTTGGAAGGCAATTCGAGTGTCACCTGAATATATGTTATCACATTTTCAAAGTCCTAAAATGTGAATAATAATAGCCAAAAGAAAAGTATTAGATTATTTATGTATAGAAAAAGTGATCTGTTGAGGACAGTTAAGAATAAAAATAAATTATTGTAACTTGGTATTTCACTATTAAATGTAATGTTTTCTGCTACTGCAATGATAGATGAATACAGTGTGAAATATTAATAAAAACTTATTAAATATTACTAATTGATTGATTCAAATTTAAATGTTTAGAATATTACGCTTTAAATTAGTTTAATCCTCATGAATTAAATAGGTAGTAATAATAATACGTTTCTTTGTACTTAGATAATATTTTTTCAAGTTTGCAATGATAGAGCGCACCATATATTCCATAGTACTTAGTAAACTGGTAAAATATTTGTGGCTGCGTTCATTCAGATTATATTATTCTGGATGAATGTGACCTAATCATAATTCGAAATTTTCATTTAATTAAGAAAATAAAACTGCTGACACGTTAATTATATTCGTTTATGGATACATGGTAAAAACAAGTATTTATAACAAAACACTATTCATTAAAAAAAAAAAAAAATATAAATATAAATAAATAATAACGGTATAACACGCTCACCAATAATTTAAGGTTGTTAGTTATTAGATTCCTTGTTAAGACATCTTTCAAATTTGTTTTGACGGGACTTTGAAAAGTCAAAGGTATGTTAACTTATATTTTGTTTTGATCGTTTCGTTTTCATTTTCAGAAACATTGAGAAAATATCCTCCATTAGTGACATTAAATCGAGTTGTAACTAAGCCGTATGTAATACCAGGAACACAAATCAAGTTAAAAATAGGTACTAAAATTGTCGTTCCAGTACATGCCATTCACTACGATCCAAAATACTACTCTGATCCAGAGGCTTTTGAACCAGATCGTTTTTCAGACGAAAACATACATAATATACAGCCTAACACATACATGCCTTTCGGAGACGGTCCTAGATTTTGTATTGGTACGTCTTATTCAATGGCTTCATACATTTCATAAATATGTTTATAATCCACACAAATGCGTACAAATTGTATTAGTTCAATGTTTTTACAATGTTCTTATGAATTTCAGGCAAACGATTTGCTGAATTTGAAATGAAAATGGCTTTGTCCGAAGTGTTAACCAACTACGAAGTGATGGCATGTGATAAAACCCAAATTCCGATAAAATATGTTATCGGAAGTTTTGTGAATATACCTGAAAGCGTTTGGTTAAAATTTAGGAAAATAAATACTTAATTTTAATATATAGTGTGTAATACTGTGTATAAATAAGTATTTGTTTATTTTGTATATTGTGTAATCTTGTGACAAAATCTTGTGCATAAGAAATAATAAATTTTACTAAAAGAAACTAATTGTATGATAAATTTGTTTTAAAAGATTGAAAAATATATTGTGCATTTAATATAATTAATATTGTTTTGTACTCCAAATATGAACCCAAAAAATTAATATTACAGCGATTCGTTATAAAAATGAAAAATAGTTACACAATATATTACATTTCAATCTCAACCAAAGTCTTAATTTTGGATGGTATGTGAGTAGAACAAAAGCAAGTGGATTACTAATTTAGAATTGAAGTTTAAGCTTTAATGATGTTCTCATAAATATTGGATCATATTCTATTTGTGTTTAGATCGATGAACAATTAAGATAGATGTCATGATAATTATTAATTTTCTATAATTTTTTTTTTATTATTATTAATTAATTAACCCGCTGCAACTTAGGCCATTGGGTGGCTTTTAACCGTGGGGAGGGTACTGTAGGTTTAAACACGTATGTTTGTTAGTTTGGCAGATTTTTTAGTGGGCACCTGTAGGTATCTGCCTTTCCCGGGTTCTTTGGGTTTTTTTTTCTATAATTATTTTATTATAACTAAATAGTTGGATATAATAGGTATGTCATAAATAATTTCTAAGTAGTTTTAAAAACTTTTGACTGATTGTTTTATTTAACTACTAGGAATGATTTACCAAATCTACTTATAGCATCTTCCATATAAAACTAACTCATTTGTAAGATGAGTAGGAACCTATAGGTTTAACTCATACGAAAAATATAGTAGGTATACTTGTTGGGGTACAAGGCGTATAATAATATGTTTTGAATATTATAGTTGAAGTCTTTAACTGCTAAGTGCTAGGTCGTTAGCTCAAATTTATAATATAAATATCTTGTTGTAACTTAATTTAACTTATCTCATTAAGGTCTATGATTATATTATATATTTTAATATGCTATTATCGTAATATTATAATACTTTGGCATCAATAAAAATGATGGTTTTAAAAATGTAATCCGTCTTACAAAAGTACAACATAGCAAAATCTGTTTGGCGCTGGTCAACTGTTCTCGCACCATATTTGTGCTAGAACTACCAAATTTTCACAACACGTAAAGCAGAATTTTATCTGAGCAACAGGTGCCCATATTTTACGTAAATACAATAAAAGTATTTTGCTTCTAAACATTTTGTTTTTTTCATTTACTTATAAAAAATGATTGGATGGTGCTATTAAAAAAAAAACACGGTGTTGAACAGATAAAGTTATTCTTTATGTGTTGTGAAAATTTGGTAGTTCTACAACAAATATGGCGTGAGAACAGTTGTCCCTCGCAAAACAGTTTTTGCTATGTTGTACATTTGTAAGACTGAGACAACACATGCTGGTGTGGCGTCCTCTTAAGAGTTTAGGTTAGGTTTATTTGTACTGTAAGTGCCTCTGTATCTTCCATTATGGATGGGTTGTTTCAGATGTGCCTTGACGTTGAGAATTTGCATTACGTACTTACCCTTTGTACTTTCTATAATAGCAATTATATTTGTACAATGAAGGGGAATATTATGTAAAGTTTGTATTTTAAAAATAATAATTACTATTTCTACTTTGATATGTGGTTGTACAGCATAAGTAAAGTTTGATACACTTATTCAGTGCAGCTCCGGTTCTTTTTCTTCAGAAGCTTTATTATCATTATTATTATTAAAATAATAAAATATACCTTTTACTAAAAATAATTTAATTAGCTGGTTTGAAAGTATTTCCGCACATATTATATAGGTTAGGTTTGATTATTAATAAATACTAGCAAGGTGGATTGATAAGGTGTAAACACTTGGCTTATTAGTTGATTGAAAATATTACTCCAGTTTAGCTCACCGCTAGATCGCGTTGCCTACCCGATAGAGGAGCAAAAATACACAGCTTCGTATGCAAGATTTAAAGAAAATTTAAGCAAAACACAATAAATTACCACTGTATTTGTTAAAATATGAATATATTATAATTTTTTAACCACAATAAAAAATGTCTATTATTTATGAACTATCCCTGGAGTCACAATTTGCTTTCTGATTGGTTTAATTGGTGGTAAAGAAAACAATATAGTAGCACAAATAAATACAAAATACAAGGAATTGGTGCTTGCATTGATTCTTTTGTATCAACATCAAAATTATTAATTAATGAAAAATCGTCACACTATACTAAATTTTCATTTAATTTTTATTTGTTTTGTTAATATAAATTTAGAACATTATAAAATGCCTAATTTATGTTTTGCTCCTGGGTGTAATACTGGTTTGCCTAATGACCGAAAGTGTTATGAAGGTAAAAAGTATCCATCCAGATTTCATCCACCTGAGGTACCTTTGTAGACAAATTGTAGTTTGAAATATTAAAATATTAACTATTGTATTATTGTTTCATATTTCCAAATACTAATCAGTTAAAAAAATATTATAAGTATAAAGTAATAACATATAGCATATTATACTGATGTCCAATTGTAATTTTTGCTAACCTAATTTAAAATAGAAATATACCTCATTATTAATTTTACCACATTATAATAGAAAAGTAGAAAAGTGAATCTAATCGGTAGTCGGTACATACATTGGACAAAATTACATATATTATTACTAGGGCTTGGATTTGCATTTTTTTTTTGGAATGTCTTACACTAGGCTTTCCAAGTTACAAATGTGTTTCAAATGTTCCATTTTTTCATACTTATAAATTATAATTCATAAACTTACCTACACAAGTTTAAATGTTAAATGCATTTTTTCTACATTTTTAGTGTATTTTAATCCGAGCGCTCAGTGGCGCAACCAGGGCGTTGCGTTAAGGGTTTGTACCCCGTCCCCCCCTGAAATTTTTTTCTAGTTGCGCCACTGCGAGTGCTTGATATTACCTATCATAATACAAATATCAAAATAAATTACTACTTTAATAGCAACATTTTCAATTCAAATTCAATTTTTTCAATTGGTTGTACAGATTATGAATATGAATTAACTAAATACATCGTAAAATTTTACCTAAATACAAGAATGATTTTTGCCTGCAAAAAACATAACAAAGTGTCAGACCAAAAAAAAAAAACGAAAAACGTTTGAAAAAAAATTCTAGATTAGTATAAACATGTATAAAATATATAATTTTCTAATTGTATAACTATATCCATAGTGTAATAACGAGTAGGTAGTTACTTCAAGCCACAACATTTGGACACATCTTAATTATATTATAAAATTTATGAATACAAAAATAGCTACTTTACATTATTATATTATATATTTATATGTATTATTAAATATATCATAACTCATATACTATAAGTATACCATATTATAACGCATTTCTACAAAAAAAGTTGAAAACCTTAATAGGTACATTTAAATCACATATAAATATTAACATTTCTTATCCTCTATAGGGTAGGCAGCGAACCTAGCGGCATATTTAACTGGAGTAAAGTTTTCGATCACTTTATCTAAGACGGGCGGGTGGAAGTGTTTACACCTTATCAATCCACCTTGAATACTAGTATATTGTCAATTGGTTGATATTCGACCATTAAATATGTTTTAATTATAAAATCAACACACTCTAAAGTATTTAATTTCTTATTGTACACACAGTTCGGTATTGGCATTTGTACAGCTTCTCCTTTTATTTGTAGGAAAATAGGTACCTTACCTATTTTGTACGGGACTTGTTTATATTTTAGATGGATTATCACCCAAGCCCCTAGCTCATCTAAAATTGTACAGTAAACACAATGGTTTTATTTCATTAATTTATATGATAAATTGAGTATTAAGTTATAATAATTAAGGACCAAATATAATTATATGAAGGTTAGGTTAGGTTAGGTTAGGTACCTACCATAATATTAGTTGGAGTGTTCAATACTTGATAATCATAGTTCGTAGGCATTAGGAATATATAATACATAAACTATTAACTACAGTTCAAACGTTGTTAATATGTTATCCATCTAAAATATAATATATAAAAATGAATGTTTGCCTGTATGTCCTTTATGCATTCCTATAGACGGCTGGACCGATTTTGATGACATTTTTTGTGTGTTTGAGTGGCACCTTGGATGATTTAGATTCAAAATTAGACCCTGTAGGTCCAATACAAGGAGGTGTTCAAACAAGGATTTTGAGATTTACTATTGAAATTGTTGTTTATAAATGATTGCTATTGGTCAAAGGAGAAATAATTAAGTAGTAGAAATTAATATTATTTTAATTTTTGTATTTTTTGTCGTTGGTTAATCGGGCAGATCAGGTATAGCAAATCGAATTTTCACACATTGCCTAGGTCCTAGGCTACCTAGGCTGAGTTGCACTTTTAGCTGTTCATCGGCGTGTCCACATGGTATGCCTACTTGATATGCTGTCACACATTTTCCGTGATCTGAAGTGAGTTACACCTAAAAGGAGCTGAATAATCACAATGTTTTTTAAGATATGTTTTTACGGCAACAAAGTGCACGGGATCATCTAGTTTTTTGTAAAAATAATCAAAAAATGATTAACAAAGGCAGAAATCCTGTTCAGTAATAACTATTATGGGGGACGAGGTGGCCGAGCGGTCGAACACGTCGTCTGCGGCGCTGGCGGTCGCGGGTTCGATTCTCTCAACCACTGGGCGGCATTTTTCTCCGGGCAAGTCACGGTGTCCGGAGAACAAGTTCCGCCATCCCCCACTCCGGGGCATGGCAGAAACCTACGGGTGCCCCAATAGAAATTCTGCCAAACACAACACACACGTGTAATAACCCTACAATTTCAAATCCTACTACCTACAATCATAAACCCTACAATCAAGCTAATGGCCATAGTCGCCGGGCTTTAAAAAGATCAATTAAAAAAAAAAAAAAAATAACTATTATGATTTTTTTTTTTTTATTTTAATAGCTTTTAGTCC